GTTTTTTGAAAGCCAACGTCACTGCACCCATCTACCAGGAAATTTTAGAGCACTTCATGCTTCCTTCTGCTGACAAGCTTTATGGAGATGCTGATTTCATTTTCCAGCAGGACTTGGCACCTGCCCACACTGCCAAATGTACCAAAAGCTAGTTAAATGACCATGGTGTTGTTGTGCTTGATTGGCCAGCAAACTGGCCTGACCTGAACCCCATAGAGAATCTATGGGGTATTGTCAAGAGGAAGATGAGAGACACCAGACCCAACAATGCAGATGAGCTAAAGGCCACTGTCAAAGAAACCTAGGCTTCCATACCACCTCAGCAGTGCCTCAAACTGATCACCTCCATGCCACGCCGCACTTATGCAGTAATTCATGCAAAAGGAGCCCCTACCAAGTATTGAGTACATGTACAGTAAATGAACATACTTTCCAGAAGGCCAACAATTCACTAAAAATGTTTTTTTTATTGGTCTTATGAAGTATTCTAATTTGTTGAGATAGTGAATTGGTGGGTTTTTGTTAAATGTGAGCCAAAATCATCACAATTAAAAGAACCAAAGACTTAAACTACTTCAGTCTGTGTGCATTGAATTTATTTAATACACGAGTTTCACAATTTGAGTTGAATTACTGAAATAAATGAACTTTTCCACGACATTCTAGTTTATTGAGATGCACCTATACTGGAGCAGTTTAGTAAATCTCAATTTAAAACATCTTTCACATTCACTAAGTGAGGACTAAAGTGTCTCAGAGTGCATATAATGTGCAGAAAGCGAGAGTAGTTAAAAAAAAAAAAAAAAACTTAACATTGCGGGTGATGATGGGAAAAACTATTAGCTGTCATTAACTGAAAGCACCCAGAATTGTGAATCAGAGGAAATGAGACTGAGTAAAACAGATGTGGCCATCTTCATCTCTTAAATGGACACATTTAATGGCCATTAGGAGAAATTATGCACTTGCTTTTTCTATAATGTGCAGTATTACATCATCTTGGTGGGGTTTTGAAAAAAACTAAATACACAAAAAGGATGATAGTTATGAAATAATGTCTCAAAAACAAATGTCTGCAAAAAATAAATGTCTAAAGTAAAAGTTACTCAAATGTATTTTATGTTTTAAGGTATAGAATGTTATTCTCGTTATTAATATATTGCCAAGAGCAACACAAATTAAACATTTTACATGTGAATGGTTGATCGCTAATTCATACAATTTCTACCTCATGCTCCATGCAGCAGAAAGTACCACTCTGAAGCAAAATATCTGAGCATTAAGACAGATCTGTTAGTACTGAAGATGTCACAGTACTAACAAGGTACAACAAAACCACCCGAAGGTAAGTCAGATATCTGGCAGTTGATTTACAGTTGAATTAGCATGCACTTTACACTGTAAATATTTTGACTAATCATAGTAAGCATAAACAGATATAGTGGGAAAATGAACTGAGTCTGCTCTTTCACTGCTTTCAATAATTTACATTTAGGCAAATTCCAGAAAAATACTTACTTACACAATCATCATAGGCAACCATCACACACCATTAACTGTCAATGATACTGTCATATCAAAAGTATTTGTGATATGAACTTCTGAACACCTATTTTCTGAAAGAAACAGCCACACTCAGCATCTCCTTCCAGTTCTCCAAACAGCCACATAAATAAGGCTTATGAGGAGAAAAATATACTAATACAACTTTGGCAACATTTATTATCATCATATATCATATTTGTACTTACTCTTTTCTTACTCTCTTTTATAACTTTTGGACAAACTTGTCTAGTTATTGTGTGCTTTTAATGCAAATAATGAATCTTTATAAATTATCGTACAGCTTTACAATTCATCTTTTACTAACATTCCCAGCATACCAGCTAACTCACTCACCCGGAGAACACCAGTGACAGACATTTGAACAATCATTGTAGGAAACACTACGGACTGGATTCGAACCCAGGTCGCTGCGACACAAGCGCACTCACTTTATTAGATGCACCACCAAAGCAGACACACACATGTACAGCTTTACAATTCATCTTTTACTAACATTCCCAGCATACCAGCGAACTCACTCACCCGGAGAACACCAGTGACAGACATTTGAACAATCATTGTAGGAAACACTACGGACTGGATTCGAACCCAGGTCGCTGCGACACAAGCGCACTCGCTTTATTAGATGCACCACCAAAGCAGACACACACATTCTGATTTGAATGTGTGTTTCCACAGCCTCCAGCCCTGAGCCTCCAACCCATATTAAGTTCTGGCTGGGTTGGGAAGTTCCCTCTGCTTCCCTCAAAGTGGAGGTAACACACTGTAATCTACCGAAGGCATCGACATGCTTCGAGACCCTACGGCTTCCATCCCGATATCACGACTTCCCAGCATTCAAGAAAGAACTACTTGCCTGCATCAGTACAGTTAGATACAGGATTTGGGCTGGTGTAACTACACTTCTTTCTCAGCAATATTTCTTGTTTTATAAACTATCAAATTATCTAGTTCCATTAAGTCTATCCAATCCAAATGCATGGATTGTGAGGTAGATCTTTTGATATATATATATATACACATTATCTCACATAAGTGAGTACACCCCTCACATTTTTGTAAATATTTTATTATATATTTTCATGTGACAACACTGAAGAAATGACACTTTGCTACAATGTAAAGTAGTGAGTGTACAGCTTGTATAACAGTGTACATTTGCTGTCCCTTCAAAATATCTCAACACACAGCCATTAATGTCTAAACCGCTGGCCACAAAAGTGAGTATCTATCTATCCCAGGAGGCCACGCAAGAGGATACATCATAAAGAAAAAGAAGAAGAGGATGCGTATGTACGTATTACAAACCAAAAACACGGTTCCTTATTTTAAATTCGCATTTGTTGAACTACTTTAGAGCAAATTGTTGAAAGTGTAAAGATGCTAAATGGTATAGTATAGTTGTGATTTTGCTGTAAAAACAAGTTTTATTATGTATAGCTAACAGGAGGGCTCCAGGAAGCACACGTACATCTCCAAAGTAGATTTACATACATTTTAAACCATATACATCTTAAATACGATTACTAAATGTCTATTTAATATCTGGTAGGAAAATCTTCTATATGAATTTCATAGAAGTATGTCTAATAGGTCCTATATATGAAGTAGACATCTGAGTGATGTACAGTATATGTGTGTTATTGTGTAGTACAATTCACTGTTGTCAGCACTGTTTGCAATAGATGAATGTAAGTAATGTAAATACATTTCCATAAAGTAACTAAATATAAGTAATCTATTTTATTTGTCCATTAGTACTGTTGAAAAATTGAGGAACATTTGTGTTGGATAAAAAGCACATCATCAACTACCTCAAAATGTAAATGTAGTTTTGAGCACTCAAATCTCAGAGGAAACTTGACTCTTGTCTGAATGTTACAGGAAAAGATGAGCACACACATCTGCTTATCCAGTAGAGAGCGGCTAATGAAGCCCTCTTCACCAGAAAGCGGAATGCTGCCATCAAAGGCTTTGAGTGAGTATACTACAGAAATGAATAAAACATCTTTTAAATCTTAAGTTGTAGTTTATTTTCATTATTGCAATTTCAAACAGAGTTATCATAGCACTTTTCTGATTCTTGATTCCTGTGCATTTGCTGCAGAGCTTTTGTGGATGAGCAGGACCTGCAAGAAAAGGTGATGGCGGCATTTGTGAAAAAAAAGGGAAAATCTGAAACAAAAATATAAATAAGATCATTCTGTTACTTCTAATACAAAAATCAAATGACACTGTGCTGTTAAAATGACTGCTTTTGTATTATATTTGGTGTTTTATATGAATATAAATGTCCATAACTGTCACGAATCCTGTCCATGGACTTCTGTTCAATCCCCACCAGAGGTCACCCTTCCATTACATTGACTCTTGCACTACACAAACTGTTGCATGTCATCCCGGACTACATATCCCATCATCCATTGCACTAATTGCACACAGCTATAACCAATCACACATTCACTATATAACACTCACTCAGATCCCTTTCAAACGGCCGAGTATTGTTTAGAGTTTATCGCTCATCGTGTGATAGCTACTTTATGGAGCCTTTTCCCTGTGTTAGTTTCTAGTTCCTAGTTGTAGCCTTAGTCTAGTCTCGCCATGTCATTTCCTGGTACCTGATTTTTGCCTGTTTATCTTGAGTTAACCCTTTGCCTGCTGTTTCGGACTGTGTTTGCACCTCGCCTGTACTCTAGCTCGTGTTATTGGATAACCCCTCATGTCAAGCCCTCTGGATATTGTTAGCTGCTTATCGACCACGCCCTTTTTGGATTACTCTTCTGTCTTGCCCTCAATATACCTATTTGCCATTGTCTGACCCATGCCTGTTTTATGACCACGTCTCTGTCTCCTTTTAAAGCTTTGCAAATGGATCCGCAAGTCTCATGTCTCATTCGCCCCGTAACAGAATACTCAGCCACACAAGGATCCAGCGGCTTCTCGGATGGACATTGGCCAGGTATGGATACGGCAAGACTATTGTTAGCCCTTAGACAGGGGACACAATTGCTGGAAGGCTATATTCAAGAGTATTTAGCCATTGCTCATTATTCAGATCTGCCGGACTGTGTACTGTTAGACTTTTTTTGCGAGGGTATCAATGAACCTTTGAAGACACTATTAATCCATGAAGGTCCCCGTTCTTCTCGAAGTAATTTTATGGATTATGCTCTATTGTCTGTTGGTTCACTGTGGGTATCGTGGAGGAACGCGACCCCACACTCACTCGTGTAATGGTCCCCATACTAGATCACGCTCACAAAATGGCGGCGACAGAGGAGCCTGATCGCAAAATGGCGGACACAACAGCATCCCGTTATGTCACAGCTGCCAATCCTGAATCAAGTCAAC